AAAATAAGTAGCGTCGAGAATTCACAGCTGCCAGTATCCGATAACAGCATCGATGTCAGAACCTGGTTACACGTAGATGCTCTTGAATTGTACAGGACAAGAAGTTGAACGTGCCTCGGCGTCTTCTGCGTGGAAAACGATATACACATATATATGTATATATATATATAGTCAAGATCCTTTTCCAGGAGGTCAGATGAAAAGAAGTCCGTCAAAAAGGGAGTTCAATGCTACCAGACTGCAATAAAATCCTTCAATTGTGTTTCTGCCTTGCAGTTTCCTCGCCTCGATTTTTCCATTTCGCTGCAATCAGCAAAATTGCTTACACTTTTTTTCTCTCTCTCTCTCTTTCTCTCTTCTTATTCTTCTTCATTCTTCTCATTTTTCGTTGCATGTTGTCGATGTCATTTACCCGAGTCTACCTAATTTTATTGAATTGATCGACAATTTTATTTTCTTGGAATTTAAATGAAAAATCATCAACTTTAACAAAATTCTTGAAGTAAATTCAATGGAGAAAAAAAAAGTTGTTGAGGAATACATTTGTAATTTTGTTATTGGAACGAACGAAGTTTATGTTACCATGACAACCGTTACCATAACAATCGTTTCCATGACAACAGTTACCATAGTAATCTTTTCCATAGCAACCATTTCCATGACAATCGTTGGTAAGGACTGTTTTTCCTTAGCAACAGTTTGCTAAGTAATTTTTTCGGATAAAAACAAATAAAAGACGATTTAATAATTCATATTTTCGAATAAATTCGAGTATATATACCTTGGAAATATTTTTCCAAATACTTTGCAAGACATGCTTCGAGATAACCAAAGATTTAATTTCAAATTATTATATAAATTTTGTCAATTGCAATTGACTGTTGTAAAGTGATGTAAAAAAAAAAAAAAAAATTTTTTTTCGTAAATATAAAATCTCTAAAAGTAGAGAACAATTGACTCGGAAGGAGGCATTGGAAATTTTAACGTGCCGATGGTTTGCTGAGTGAAAAAAACTGTCAGCAACATTGACGTTCTTACCAGGGAAGTATATATACATATATATGTGTGTGTATATATATATATATGACTATATCTCGGCGCATATACTCGTCGAATCGTCTGTTAACTTCACTCTTGCGATATCTCTTCTGCCAGTGGCACATACAATCGATCGAATCCACATCGAGACACATGACACACAATTCTCCCTACGGGGATTTGGCACTTTGACGAGTTCGTATTGAGCGTCCAGGGTCGAGTCGACTAGTGAATGAATTCAGAACGAGAACGACTGAATTTCTGGAGAGTCCATGTGAGCCCACACACGAGAGAGAGAGAGAAGAGAGAGATAGTTTGGTTCAAAAACGAATCGCGATTGAAATCGTTTCACATTGTTTGGAACTCGTATACTCTTCTTTTATTGCACCGTCTGTGCTCGGCTCTGTGTCATGATTCTCTCTCTCTATATATATATATATATATATATCTCCCTCCACCGACCCCGTTTTCAATGACACTAGACTAATTGCAACTTTCTGCGTGCTGAAAACCCCTCTAAATGAAATCCCAGAAAAAACAAAAAAAAAAAAATCCCTTTTAAAAATTGATACTTTTTTTTTCATTTCTATCGAGTCTATTTTATAGCAGTTGCATCAAACGTTTTACAATCCACTACATCATTTCGATATTTTTAATCCACAACAAAATGTATCATTTAAGTGAAAGCATTTTTTTTTTTTTTTTCTACTAATTATTCTAATCTAAATTTTTTATTCTCTTTTTCTTTTTAAAAATTTTAAATTTTAACAATAAAGTAAGGTTACGCGTATAATTAAAGTAAAAAAAAAAAAATGCTGAGAAATTTTCTCAGAATATTGAAGAAGATAATTTTCCTATTGCGGTTGAAACGCACATTTTATCGAACTCTAATAAAGAATGTAATTTTCAATTAAACAACAAATGAAAAATATAATTGAATAAAAAGTTAAAGGAAAAAAAAATAGAAATTTAAAAAAAAATGAAACAATATGTTAATAAAAAAAATTGTAAATTAAAAAAAAAATCTCTGTTTTAATTATATTATCAAAGAAGATTAAAATTAATGTGTAAAATTGTAATCCGCAAAGATCGTTTATTTATGATTTTATGAAATATGATATAACTGAGGATTTGAATGTAAGAATCTTGAAAACGTCTTTAGATAAGTTACGACAAAGGAAAACGGTTATATTCCAAACTTGTTAATTTTCTCATGAAACTGTGAGTATAATATCAAGTTTATCTTCAAGGTTCAACGTTTGTTTCATATATATATATATGTATATAATACAGAGAAGAAACGACGGTTCACTCAAGGAGCGACTAATTGCCTCAGTTTTGTTTCTATGATTCTGGTAAATGAAATGCTCGAGTGAATGATATCACCCTTCAGCCTGTAATATTTCATATATCTCATTTCATTACTCGAAATTGTTAGCTTCATCGGGTTTATAATATTTCGTATATTCTTGAAAACTCTTCAGATAATTACAAAATATTCAAAAAACATTACTTAAAACAAAGATTTTCGTAAAAAAAAAAATTATTTCATTTTTTTTTTTTTAAAGGAAGGAAGCAAAATATATTGACAATTATCTTCCGAATATGTTTTCACTCAAAAAATAAAGAGACACTAGATTATTATAAATCAATTAATAATATTTGTGTCATAATATAAAATTTCGAGGGAAATTATTATATCCCAAAAAAAATATTGTTGCGATATATATTTAATTTACAAGAGAAAATTAATTATTATTTCAAATAAAATTATTTATTATAAATAAGTATATTATTACCTATATTAAATAATTATTAGGATGTAATTCATCAAAGAAGGAAAAAATGATGCAACACTTAATTACAAAGAGAGATTAACTATATAAATCAATTATTACATATAATGAATGAAATAATACAAAAGGTATCAGAAATGATTTAGGATAACAAATATAGAATAAATGATGTATTGTCAAAATTGTACAGTGATGATAAAAGAATTTTTTCAGATTTATGATGTTTCCCTTATCATTACGAACTTGACTGTATAACATTTCTTTCGTTGAAGGAATATGAAACTTTTTTATAGAAATATTTTCAAAATTTTTATTTTATCAAAATAAAACATTAATTTAAAATTGTAACGATTTAGGATAATAGAAAAATGTAGATTTTGTTTCAAAATCTAAAATTCGAAATAAAAACGTATAAAAAATAGATTTAAAAACAAAAAACAGCTCAAAGTGATTTTGTCTCGAAAAATTGCTAAGTTTAGAGGGATAATTGGGGTCTGCGTCAGCTCATTCTCTTTATCCCATTTTCACTCCCCCCCTTTTTTTTCTCAACCCTCGTTTTCATTCTCCCCTTTTACTTCTTGCATTTACTCTTCTTTCCAATCTCAAGTATCCAGTGGCAACTATTAAATTTCTCTTGGGCAAATAAAGTGGCGTCGATTGCAGGTCGAAAGGGGGTTGTCTTTGACTTTCAAGAATGGCGGAAGTTAATTAATCGATCGTTGAACCTTCACTTCCTTTAAAAGGTTTACCTCAAATTTCACATGGATTTCAGTTTAACCTCTTATGAGATTTTACCCCTTAGAAACAAAAAATCGTTTTATTTTGACGAATTTTTTTTTTTACAAGGGAATTTTCTACATAAAAGAATTTTTAAATGCAACGAAAATTGGCTAAATTAATCTGTAAAAATGTTTTTTATTTTTAAATTGAAATCGCAAAAAAGGGCTCTCATATATAGAAACAAAAACCTTTAAATTACGAAATATTTTTTTTTTTATCGGGAATTGTGTATATATATATATATATTATGTCAGAGAGATTGAAAATGGAAATAATATGTTTTTATCGCTAGTTCGCAGCTTGTGTAATTCAGAGAGAGGACCTTTTGAAATTCGACGTTTGCTCTCGCAAAAGTGTGCACGGATTCTTCAACTCCACTCATCCAATTTTCAGTGAATGGTCTCTACATATATACATATCTCGACAAATTATCATTAGACTTTTGGTGGAAGAGAGAGAGAGAGAGAGAGAGAGAAGAAAATCAGGTAAGCGGCGCACACTCAACGCGCCCGTCGAGCTGTATATATTCGGATAATCGACAAAGTTGCGAAACCGGTGTAACAAAAGATAGAATTAATTAGAGGGATATCTGTTCAGTGAAAACCCCACTACTGGCAACGGTCCAGTAAACAAGTATATATACCTATATTGATTCAAAAGGTTGCATACATGAGAAGGACGGAGAATAATGTATATATATATATTTATCCGCGAATTTATGTCTTCGTACATATGTGAAACATTTATAAACAAAGGACAGAGAGAGAGAGAGAGAGAAAGAGAGCGACGATGAAAGTTGAACACATGAAATATAACGAACCGCGCGCATGTGTCAATTAGTAATCAATTTATTACTATATATACCATCGAAACCAACGATGCGCGCGATACCCTCACTTTTCCGGTACAACCATTGGATCAATTGTAGATTGACAATGTTAATAGCTGGAGAATCGTTTTAATTATAAATCATTTAATTATAACTGCGTACATTTCTCAATTATCATATATAGTTAGTTTTATGAAATATTTTTCATTTATTTAACAAGGCAGAAAAAAATTATTTTTATAAATTATTTCTTAAAAAACCAAATTTTCTTCCTGGAGAACCAGTGCAGAAATTTTTCACAGGGACCAGATCGGGGACGGATCAGGCTGCCCTATTAGGCGAATGAAACGCCACGCCTAATGTGGCCCTGATTAGGAATTTTACATTTTCTATTGGCCCTGTGTTTCATTCCCTACTAGGGCCCTGATAGTTCAATTTCGACCCGGGAAAAAATATAATTTTTTAAAAAGTAAAATTTTGCTGGATAAATAAAATAATAAAATAGAATCAAACAAAAAAATTTGCTAACTAATAAATGATAAAATTCGTTCTTTGGATTTTGTTTTGTTTTTTTTTTTTTATTCAAAAAAGTAAAAATACAGTCGAAATAATATACAAAAATTAATTGCTAAAGAAAGATTTAATTTTCCTCCATTGTTGTTGTTATCCAATCAACATATTTCCAAACATGAGTATTTACATCAGGATATCCTTGAGCACATGGATTTCCCATTGAAACAATTCCAACTTGATAATTACCAACGACAATTGGACCACCAGAATCACCCTACAAAGAAAATAATTATAATTATATTAATTTTATTTCTTCAAAGAAATAGAGAAATTTTTTTTTTCTTTCTACAAATAAATAAATAACTTACGTGACACAATCCTTGTCCTTGTTTTGTAAAAGTGCAAATTTGTGTTTCTCCTACAGGTGGAAGAAATGGAATTGGAGATAAACGTTTCACGCAAGCATTATGATCATAAACTTTACTTTCTAAATATTGCAATTGTTGTGGTCGGAGACCTCCCTAAAAATTCAATCAAATTATTGTAATTAGAAATTAACAGTATCAAAAATATAATTATCATTTATTACTAATTTATAATAATTAATAGAAAAATAATAATTATACATACTACTTGTAATCTGCCCCAACCAGATGCAATAACAGGTATACCATCTTGATTCAAATCAATTGGAGGCAATTTAATTGGTTGTACAGTACTGGAAAATGTTATGTTGCCACTAATTTTGATTAAAGCCAAATCATTACGCATATCACCATTTTTATTAAATTGAGGATGTTTAATAACTTTACTGATCTCGTGTTTTTTAGTGTTTTTATCAAAAGAATTCAGATTTAATAGTCCAACAACAACATTGCTAGATTGAGTCGCTGTCAATCTGTTCAAAAAATTAAATTATTTATTATTTATAATATTTATTTTATTCTGAAAAATTAGAAAAAAACATTTTCAATTTCTTACGCTGGTGTGCAGTGAGCTGCTGTTAAAATCCATTTTTCATTTAATATGGAAGCACCACAAAAATGACCGATTCCTGAATTTTGTAAAGATACTTGATAAGGAAACTGTCCTTTTTTTGCCGTAAGTCCACCAACAATACGAGGATTCAATTTAGGATTTGCTGTTAAAATAAAATTATTTAAATTTCGAAAAAAATTTCCTTTTTTGATTAAAAAAATCAATCTTTAATTTTTACTATACATTTGCAAAAATAGAATAACAGAACAAGTGGAAAATAAACTCACCAAATGCTAATCCAAAAAGAGCCAGAAAAATAAGAAACGATATATTTGTCATGTTGAAAATTATGTCTACTTAGAATAAATTAATTTGCCTTATATACTAGTCAAGGATCTTAAAAAAAAATCAGCAAAGATAATTATGTGATCAGAAGTGGAAATGACTTTTGATAAATTCACATTATCATTAGATTTATCTGTTGACTATCGCAATAATGTTGCCTAATCAAATTATTGATGATTTAATTTAGAACGGAATGTCAATGAAAGTAATTTTTTCGTTCCATATAAACGTTTTAAATACGTATTATAAATATTAAGTTACAAAAAATTTCTTCTTTTAAAAATTTTTCCCTATTTTTAAAGAACTATTATTAAGGGAAAAATTATATATATATAGTTAATAAGAAATTTAGTTAAAAAATGTTTAAAATAATCATATTTATTTTTTACACATGTTCAAAACGAAAATACAAAATTACGAATTTTTAATCTTAATTAATAAAAATATTAATGATTCTTTCATTGATCAACTTTTAATTAAATTTGTATTAAAAATAATTTCATACGAGAATTATCAGTATATAAAATTAAAATTTTGTCGTATTTTAAGAAGGAAATACGTTCTATAAATATTGATATCAGACAAGATATTTTTGATAAGTAGATGAGACATTCTTTGATTAATTTATACGATTAGAAATACGATTATTTTATCAAAGATTATTAATTCTACGTATATTAATTTGTAAATTTTTTAAGATACATACATTCAAATGACAGGAGTCATAATTTTTGATAATGATAATTAATAAAAATATTGATTTTTATACATAAACTACAAAATTCAAAGAAAACGAGCTGATAAAAAAAAAATTATTGTTCCTCTGATTAGACTTATTAGGCAATTTATTATCTCAACTAAGTACTTCCCAAATGTCTAAAATTAAATGTAAAAAAATATATTAATATATTATAATATATTATAATATATTATTATATATATATTATATATTATAATATATATTAAAATATATATTATATATAAATATATTAATATTAATAATATTAATAAAAAATATATTAATATTATTCACAATTCCCGCTTATTATGTCTACTATTTCGATTAAAAATTTACAATTAAAATTTTTTCATTTTTTACAATACCTACGTAACTTAATATTTGAAGTTTCTTATTTGAATATTTCGAGCAATTGATTTTTTTCATTATCAAACGATAGAGAGACACATGTAAAAATATTTTTTTTATCATTTCTGATAAGAATGAAAGAAAATTGATTTGTTTTGACATTATGATCGTAATTCCATTCATAATTTGATTAGGCAATATTTTACCATATAGTTTTTAGATAAATTATAATCGTGATAATGTAAATTTATCAAAACTTATGTAGAATTTTAATATTTTTTGATTTTTTGAAGGGCATTGCTCAGTATATATTAAGCAAATGAATTTATCGAAAGTTTACATTAGTTCTTCATCATGTCAAAGCTATCGTTCTTATTGTTTTTGACACTTTTCGGATTAGCATTTGGTGAGTTAATATACTGTAAAAGCAGAAATTTTAATTTTTATGTGTTATTTTATTTTATTTGTTATTTATTATTTATTTTAATGTTTTGAAAAATGAGTTAGTCAAAAGCAATAAAGTACAAATTTTATTGTGTTTAAAAAAACCAATAATCATTTTATAGAAAATTTTGAACGCAAAAATTTGTTAAATACTATTAAAAATTAATTAAATATTAATTTTTTGGCAAAAGAAGAAATTTTTTTGTTGAAAACTAATTAATTCTGCTTTTTAACAGCAAATCCGTTACTTAATTTTAATGAACCAAAATTGAATCCTCGTATTGTCGGTGGACTTACCGCAAAAAAAGGACAATTTCCATATCAAGTATCTTTACAACATTCAAGGTATGGTCATTTTTGTGGAGCTTCCATCTTAAACGAAAAATGGATATTAACAGCAGCTCATTGCGCACCAGAGTAAGAAATTTAATATGATTTTTTTTTTAATTTTTCAGAATAAAAAATTAATATTTTTAACATAAATATAATTACAATTAATTGATAGCTTTATTATTTACAGATATTGTAACTATTAAATATTGATATTTTAACTATCACTTTTATAAATATTTTGAATTAATAATTTATAAATTAAATAATCTAATTTTTTTGTAGATTAAGCACCAGTGTTGTTGTTGGAGTATTTGATCTTTCTCAATTTGATGAAAGCACTGTAAAACATAAGATCAATAAAGTTATTATACATCCTCAATTTAATCAAGGTTTTCCAATGCGCAATGATTTAGCTTTGATCAAAATTAACGAAACAATAACATTTTCCAATGTTGTACAATCAATTAAATTACCTCCAATTGATTTAAATCATGATGGTATACCCGTTATTGCTTCTGGTTGGGGCAAATTACAAGTAGTATGTATAATTATTATTTTTTTATTAATTATTAAATTAGTAATAAATTTTTGATATTGTTAATTTCTAATTACAATAATGTAATTAAATTTTTAGGGAGGCGTTCGACCACAACAATTGCAATATTTAGAAAGTAAAGTTTATGATCATGAAGCTTGCGTAAAACGTGTGGCTACAACTCTTCCACCCATTGGAGAAACACAAATTTGCACTTTTACAAAAGCAAAACAAGGATTGTGTCACGTGAGTTTTTTTTTCTCATTTATTTTTGAAAAGTAGAATTTTTTTTTGAGAAAAATATTTTTTATTTATAGGGTGATTCCGGTGGTCCAATTGTCATTGGTAATTATCAAGTTGGAATTGTTTCAATGGGATATCCATGTGCTCAAGGATATCCTGATGTAAATACTCATGTTTGGAAATATGTTGATTGGATAACAACTACAATGGAGGAAAATTAAGTTATACATGTTAATTTTTGTACATTACATTGTTTTGTCTGTATTTTTACTCATTTTTTTACTAAATAAAAAATATCAAAAAAAAAAAAATTGAAATATAATTTAAGTTTTATTATTGAAATACACAATTTGTTATAGTTTTATAAGTAGTATAAATAGTTTTCTGATATGTGTAAAGTATCGCAGCGCCATCTGTTCATTATTTTTTAACGGTCGGTAATTTAGAAATCTTCATTGCCTTTGAAAAAAATGAATTAAAATTCGACTTGTATTTTTCAAAAACCTGAGAATAAACTTAAATTTTTTTTTTAAATCCACAGAACTTAACTAAGAAAATAAATGATGAAAAATAATCTTGCTTTCCTTTTGGGGGGATAATAAACAATGTATATAAGTGACATTTCTTTGGAAAGTTGGCTGCGTCTTTGCCATTTACGTAACTTCCTGTGAAAGAGAGAAAGAGAGAGAGAAAGAAAGAATCAAAAAGTCGTGATTCGTCTCGCTTATAAGCATTCGCCATTGTGTCTTCTCTGAATATTGTTGTGGCGACGCAATTCTAAGTGTTCACACAGGGATGAAAAAGCAAAGATTCTCCACGGCCTTGTATATACTAAACTTAAATTTCTGTTTTCTTTATCCAAGTCTTGAGATTCGTATTTTCCGAAAATTTCTTCCTTTTAGCGACTTGGACCTTGCCCAAAGTTAGTCTACGTTGTCGGCCTAACTTCCTGGTCTCGACCGAAACGAATGAGCCCCAATCTCATGCCTCCCCCCCCCAAACTCTCTTCATCCCTTTTCTTTTCGTTCATCTCTCGCAACTTCCGCGTCTTTTCCGCTTTTTTTTTCTCTCTCTCTCTCATCTAAGCCGGTTTGCCACCCTTCAACCAAAAGTCCGAAGTTACTTATAAGTTATGTTTTCGAGTGAACTTCGCTGGCACTGCGGAATTTCGAAACTTTGATATTCAATAACTCCTTGGTGCGCCTTGAATCTCAGCGCAAAAGATTCTTCATTTTTTTTTTTTTTTTTGCTCTTTTCAAAATAACGAAGAGAGAAGAGACACGTTCGTCTCCGACAGGGCGTGCACTCACTACTTTTTCCCCACTTTTTTTTTTTCGTGTTATTTTATTTTTTTTTGGGATTTTCTTCGAAAAGGATATCTAATCCGTGACGGATTTCTTTACTCCCTGTTTTTTCCCGGCACGAACCGACTCTCAAGAGAAAGTAGAAATTAAATTTACCCTTTTTGGCGAGAGGAATTCTATTCGTAAAAGAAAAAAAAAAGGGACCACAATAGTTCGTCAAGAAGCGCAATCTAGATCGTTGTGTGGTGGGTGTTACCGAACCTATTGACGTATTTTTTTCTCTTTTTTCCAGTGTATTTTCGCTGTTTTTTTCTTCTTCTTCTTCTTCTTTTTCTTCGACTTGAGAAAAACTCTCGTACGGGCAATAGTGTTATATATTAGTACGATGTAAAACTTGACTGGAATTTTCAAGCGCTACGAACTTTGACGCATTCGAGCTATACGATATTTACGATTACTCGTAAAAGTACTAGTGAAGGTATACACTTACTTAGGCAAAGTGTTTGCAAAGAGTTCTTCATTTTACACGCGGTCTCTCTCTCTCTCTCTCTCTCTCACTCTCTCTTTCCAGTACTTGTTGCAAAATTATTCTAAAACTTTAAATATTTGCGGGCTTTTATTTTTTTTTTACATTTTTTTTTTTCATAGAAGATTTTTGAATACAATTTTTTCAAATTTCAATCCTTTTCTTATTTCTAAATTGTTTACAAAAAAAAATATACCTTTTTGGATATTTTTTTATTATTTAAATGAAATTTCTTCATATGAATTTTCTAAAGGAAAATATTTTTATAAAAGTGATTTTCAAATCATTGAACATTTTGCAGAGAAAAAGCGAACTTGGTATATAGAGAAAAGAACATACGTGTGTAAGAGAGGTGAAATTTACTCTTAACGATCGAGAACTTTCCTGATTCTCTCTGATATTGGATAACGGAAGCGATTGGATTGGAATTCAAGAGAACATTAAGCTATTAACGATTCACGCGTATATATATATATATATAGAGTTCGCATTTCTAACTTGGCCAGATTAGAAATTTGGTTTAGTTGCACACAGAGAAAGTTACTCTCAATTCAATCGATTGCAAAATCATTTCCGCACAATCTAATATTATTACAAAACTCCTGCGTGAATGTAATAATAATATTTCACAAATTTTCATCACTTAAAATTAAATAACAAAATTTTTGTTCTTTTATTATTAAAAAAAAAATTTAATTTCTTCTTTTTTTTTAACAATTGCATATAAATTTTTGTGTATTTTTTTATTTATTTTTTTGTGTATATTTTTGAAAAATAAAATTTTTTTTTAGTATGCGTAAGAGAGGAAACAAATTCTGCTGGTTAGAGATACTTGTTTAATGAGAAAGGTCCGTGAAAATAGAGGTGAATATGCGAGGCACGTATTTGGAGAAAACACTGGCTTGTTAAAAAAAAAAAACGAAGAAGAAAAAAAAGATAGTATAAGTGTAGTTGCATGAAGAAATTGGTAGATCGTTTAGCTTTTATAAGGGGGTTAAAGGAAGAGGGAAAAAGGTGATGAAAGTGGATAAGAGGTAGAACTTAGGGGTCGAGGATGACGAGAAGCATGGAAGAAATGGAACGAGATGAAGGGTCAGGTATCTACTCGAGAAACTTGAGGGTCGTTTCCGCGTATATTGGTTTAATCGTTCGCTCATCAACGTTCTCTCTTTCTCTCTCTCTCTCTCTCTCTTGGTTTCGTCATCTCACGAGACGAAGTCTTTAAGACAAAAATTTTCCACCCTTAAATTTTTCCACTCTGGTAATTGATATATAAAAGTCCTTTTAATTTATCTATGGAAACACACATGTTGCGAGAAATTTAACGAAAAGAAAATATTTTATCACAAAATCAAATGATGGTTTTCTCCCAAAAAAAGGGCATTTTATTATTAAGTTAGTAAAAAAGAAAAAGTGATTTTAATTAAATCGAATTTATTATTTTAATAGAAAACAAGTCAGAAAAAAAAAACTTAACAAGTTATGGAGAATTACACAGAAAATTAAAAGGCATTAAAATAAGCTGCAACGCTTATTTTTTTAATCCAATTTTGCTTATTTTAATACCAAAATGAATTAAAATAAGCAAAATTGAATTGAAATAATAAGCGTTGCAGCTTATTTTAATGCCTTTTAATTTTCTGTGTATATATAAAAAGCGATAAATTTCTAATAAAACTGGCAATTGAAAAAATTATTTTAATTTTGAAAAAAAAAAACAATTTCTTCTTTTGAAACATTATTTATTGGCGAAAAAAAAAACTACTATTTATTGTTATTGTCGTTTGTATCGTTTTTTATGTGAAGAATTTATTGTTAGTTCTCTTCTAACTGTCGATTGAAACGACAATGACAGAAGAAAGCGTGAGCCAATAAAAACAACACTAAATTGCCTAAAAGAATTTATTTTACGAGGTGATATTATTTTCCTTTCCTTTTTTTTTTCCTCCCCTTTTGTATTTCGTAATATGTTTAATGTTTTTTTATTTTCTCGTATATATAAATACGGTAATCTCGGTGAAGTGTCTTAGTAAAAATAAAAAGGGAATAAACTTTTGTAAGGAAAAGCGTTGAAAGGCAATGATATTCAGAAGAAAAAAAAACAGAATTTCTCGAGTGTATTATATATAAAAAAAAGTTGTATATACAGCAACTCGTAATAACAGTTTTTCCTTGTGGTTGCTAAAATATTTTCCTCCTGACCCACATATAAAAATTGATTTGAAAAAATTATTTTAAGATAAGTAAACGTTTTTTTGAGAAAACATCTTCTTCCAAATATTTAGTCATTACTTATATAGTTTAGATAAATCTTCTTTAAAGGGAAATTTTCAATAAAGTGCAAATCGTTTCATTATGATAAAAGGAAAAAAAATTAGGATTTTAAAAGCATTTACGGGTTTTTTTTTCCACCTCCACCTCTCGGAATATAGTGATATAGCGAAGTTGGTAATGTAATTCGCAAAATGTGAGTCTTTGCAAAGGGTCGTCGTCGTCGTCGTCGTTTACGTATCTATATCTACTCGTTTTTGTATCAGAGTGATATCGCTCCCTCTCATTTTTGTACCTCCATATAGTTCGTCAGGGGAAAACGAAAACTTGAACATCGTCACGCATGAATGCTATCGACTCCCTTTCATAAGCGATGCGGTATATATATATGAACATAAATCCCTATAAAATAAACTAGTACCTTTGCAATGGGTTCTTCAGGCTGAAGGTCGAAATTAAGCCAACTGGAAAGACGCCTGGAAAAAAAAGAAAAAAGAAGAAGAAGAAGAAAAAGGATGAGAGAGAGAGCAAAGCTCGAAACATAAGGATCCTCTGTTGCGCGAGGGCACATACACACATACAAATACTATTACAAATGTCAGAAATAAAATCACGATAAAGAAATCACATATGTGCTTCAATGCGCTGGATCATTACTTAAAGTGTCTCTTTTCATGATGAAGTAATTCATCGAATTTGAATTCAACGAAATATTTTTATGTTTTCTCGACATTTATCATTTATATATCCTGTCTATCATAAATATGAATTTATATCGGCATTCAAATTATATTATCATACTAACTATAATATTAATATACAATATCATACAAACTATAATTTTATCTCGAGGGGGAATTTACTCAGGTACACTCTTCCTGTAATACTTGTGTAATAACGTGTAATACCGTGTAATAATGCGTTATTACGGTGCTGTAATAACGCAAAAAAAACTCTGTAATATCTCTGTAATAACGTGTAATACTTAGTAATAAGGGTAATATGAGATGTAATACCGTGTAATAACGTGTAATACCGTGTAATAATGCGTTATTACGGTGCTGTAAGAACGCAAAAAAAAACTCTGTAATATCTCTGTAATAATGTGTAATACTCTGTAATAACGTGTAATACACGTTTTTATCTAGTAAATTTCCCCTCGTTTTATCTCTACATAATAATATTTCTATCCAAATTATAGTTTTTTTTATATTTTTTTCA